TAAGCCATGGAGTAATCCTCCTGGTACTTATCTTGGCTATTCTTGGGTGTTAGTCTCCTATTTTGTTACTTTATGTTCCCCAGATGAATGCAATCTTTCTATGTCTGTCCCTTTCTTTCTGACTCATTTCGCTTAGCATGATACTTTCCATGTATCAAATTAACTAAGGAAGTAAAGGACCTGTACAAAGAAAACTACAAAACGCTACTTCAGAAAATAAAAGAGGACACCAGGAAGTGGAAAAATATCCCCTGTTCATGGATTGGGAGAACTAACATTGTCAAAATGGCAATACTTCCCAAAGCACTGTACAAATTCAATGCGATCCCTATTACAATACCTATAACATTCTTTAAAGAAATGGAGCAAACACTCCTGAAATTTATATGGAACAATAAGCCCCCACAAATAGCAAAAGCAATACTGGGGAAAAAGAAAATGGGAGGAATCAACCTCCCTAACTTCAAACTCTACTACAAAGCAGTAATAATTAAAACAGCATGGTACTGGAACAAAGGCAGAGATGTAGACCAGTGGAACAGGGTTTAATATACTGACATCTCCCCTCAAACATATGATCATCTAATCTTTGATAAAGGAGCAAGAAATGTGAAGTGGAGAAAGGAAAGCCTCTTTAACAAATTGTGCTGGCAAAACTGGATGGCTTCATGCAAAAAACATGGGCTCAGATCTCTGCCTAACACAATATACAAAAGTAAGATCAAAATGGATTAAAGACCTCAACATCAGACCGGAACCCATAAGGTACATTGAAGACAAAGTTGGCAAAACCCTCTATGACATTGAAGCTAATGGTATATTCAAAGATGACACGCCACTGGCCGAGCAAGTGAAAACAGAGATAGACAAATGGGACTATCTTAAACTAAGAATCTTCTGCACCTCATGTCCCTTGAATAGTTTACTTTAGAGCAATGTCCTTTTGTATAGACACAGAAAGACAATTAATACTATGCTTTTGTAACTTGGAGTTAATTGACTCCGAATAACATTTATTCTTGAGCATCTGTCATATTTACTTGACTTACGCCTCAATTGCCCTTAGTTCCTAGCATCTCAAAAGCAGTGTCCCGATGAAGGGACTGGATGGACATAGAGCAAGCTGTAAGCTACCCTGGTGTTGAAATGGGACAGGCCAAATACCATAATACTTAGCTATAGTTAAGATCATGGTTGTGAACGAATTCTGTCATGATGCAAAGAGAAGTGACAAAGACCCTCCTAGGGTTAGGAAGGGCTAATCTGGCCTGAGGACTGTAGTCTGGGATCTATAGTGAGATGTCCCCAGGAGAGCCACCCTATAAGCTTAACATATCTCTTACTGTGTCTATACAAAATGAATAGAAAGATTATTAAGAAGTAAATCTAAGATGATTGCTTATGAACTATATATATTATGAATATTAGAGTGGGTGAGACTGGAAGGAGGCAAAGAGAGATGAAGTTGGAATAAACTGCAACTGATCACCAAACAGCCTGACAGCCCTCTTCCCTCCTTCATGTGTCTGTGCAGGCCAGAGTGGAGAAGCAGCTCATGGCCACTGAATACACATGGTGGGAGAGAGACCATGCCACTCACTTTTTTTTGATTACACACATGCCTATTGCATTATTCATTTACTTGATGACACCTATCTATTTGTCGCTGGGGGGAATGCTAGTTATATGTTATATAAGACAGATATATGTAAATATATGTTATGAGTCTTATATAAATCTTATGCAAATTATATGAGCCATCCGCATCTTTCATTTCTTGAACAAACCCGGTTTTCTTTTTTGTAGAAGTATTTTTTTAAATTTATAATTCTGTGGGGCCAGACAGATAGTATACAGTGGATAGGGCTCTTGCTTTGCATGCAGTTGATCCTGCTTAACTCCCTGGCACTAAAGATAGTCCCTAAGACATTCAAGGAGTGATTTCTTAGCACAGAACCAGGAATAAGGCCTGTAATGAGAGTTCCCTTAAAAAAGGTAAAGGCCCTCCCGTTGATCGTCGATTTGCTCGAGCGGGCCCAGTAACGTCTCCATTGGAGACTTTGTTGTTACTGTGTCTGGCATATCGAATACTCTCAGTAGCTTGCCGGGCTCTCCAAGAGGGGCGGAGGAATCGAACTCGGGTCGGCCATGTTGGCCGCTTGTAAGGCGAACACCCTACCCGCTGTGCTATCGCTCCAGCCCTAATTAAATGCTGACTGCATGGGCCGGGAATCGAACCCGGGTCTCCCGCGTGGGAGGCGAGAATTCTACCACTGAACCACCCATGCATGGCTGGAGCGATAGCACAGCGGGTAGGGCATTCGCCTTACAAGCGGCCAACATGGCCGACCCGAGTTCGATTCCTCCGCCCCTCTCGGAGAGCCCGGCAAGCTACCGAGAGTATTCGATATGCCAGACACAGTAACAACAAAGTCTCCAATGGAGACGTTACTGGGCCCGCTCGAGCAAATCGACGATCAACGGGAGGGCCTTTACCTTTACCCTTAAAAAAATCCCAACAAAAACATACATCCTTGGGATCGGAGAGGTAGTACAGGAGATAGCCTTATGTGTGGCTGACCTGGGTTTGATTTCTGCTATCCCATATGGTCTCCCTAATACCGCCAGGAAAAATTCCTGAGTGTGGGAGTAAACCCTGAATACTTCTGGGTGTGCCGCAAAAGCAAGAAAATAAAAACCAATCAATCAACAAAAACCAAAACACACACATCCTTGCTTACAGTGGTTGTTTCCATTTTTTTCCTCAGTATGTGCCATTCTCTCTGATGTCATACAGCCAAATTGTACCTATTTTTTCTCTTTTGAGTCAATTTATAGAAGGAAACAAAGGGTACTTCCTCTTATAGTTTCTCTAATAAGTCATTTTTAACAGTATGAGGGTGAGACCCAAAATGTAAAAAAAAAAACCTCTGTGGCCTTCTCAAAATAGGGTGGGCAGATTTCGAGAAATTCTAGGAAATTAGCTTTATTCACCTAAATGTGTAGGTGTCATTACCTTGGCAATAAAAAAATAGGTTTATCCCAAATATAAGATAAAAAATCATACTGAGGGAAAAAAATGGTCAAAGTCATCATAACTGAAGTTTTTTCCATAAAGTAAGCTTACATGTAGGCAATGGGAAAGGTCCTTGAGACACTGGTGAAGGAAAACAGACACTTTGATGATGGGTGTGATACTAGAATGATGTATCCAATAAAAAGATGATTAACACTAGAAATTCAATACCTCAAAAAAGTTTCAAAATTTTTTCTTTAAAAATATATAATTGTCATAAACACAACTTATAAAATAAGAAAATCAAATGACCTGGGGGTATGGTGCCACCAGCAGATCAATCTGTACTTGTGAGGCGAGTGCATCAGCAGCCTGATGGTGCCTTCAGACTTCTAGATACCCCCAAATTGCTTCTGTGCTTTTGGCCAGACCCCAACAACTTGGGGCCAAGTTTACCAAGAAAGTAAATGGCCAAAAGTTAGGTATGTGGAAGACACACCCACAAACCACCTCTGGCTGAGCTATATAATTGGAGGCAAGGTCTCTCTGGTTCCTGAACAAGCTGCTTAATGGCCAGGATCCCAGAGACTCAGAGGCAGGTCTCGGAACACAGTGGCTTTTGGCAGAAATGCGACTGGTCCCTGCAGTAGGTTACCAGTGCTGGGCCACCCCAGGGGGGAAAGGGTGCTGTCCCTTTACCTGCTCCCTCTTGGGATTTCGGTGACCACCATCCTTCAGAGGCCATTGGACAGTCAGGTGTGGGCTCACTGTGATGAGACACGCAGGGCCTCACAGGATGGGGGTGGAATCAGCCCTTTCTTCCCCACACCAACGAGACCCTTGGTCGCCACCCACGAATGGCCTCTCTGGCTCCTGATCAAGCTGCTTAACGGCCATAATCTCAGAGACTCAGGAACAAATCCCAGAACCCAGCAGGTTTTGGCAGAAATCCCTCCAGACTTAATAGTTAAAATTTCAGAATTCCAAAACCGTGTGGCCACTACTGCAGCTGCGCAACATCATATGTTATTCATAACCAGCAATAGAAAACAAATTGTCTATGGTTGCCTTTTTGGCAGATCTGAGTGTTGGGGTAAAATTCCAAATAATAACGGTGTGTCTGGTGTCAAAATATTGAATGTAATCAAAGTAGAGAGAGAGTGATGTGGAAATCATCTGCCCCACAGGTAGGGGAAGGGTGTGACATGGGGGTATACTGAGGTTTTTGGTGGTGGAAAATGGGTACTGATGAAGGGACGGGTGTTTCATCATTGTATGACCAAGACTTAGACCGGAAAGCTTTTTAACTGCTCTCACGATGATTCAATAAATAAATTTATAAAAAAGGGAGAAAAAAGAGAAAATCAAATGACCAAGTACCATATGGATATACCCTTTGGGAAAGAAATGTAATAGGTTTGGAAGCTAGAGAGATCTTAGAGTGGGAAGGGTGCTTGCCTTGCATACCGCAGACCCAGGTTAGATCCCTGAGCACTGACAGGAGTGATCCCTAAGTATAGAAACAGTAGCCCTGAGCACCGCCAGGTGTGCTCCACCCTACAAAAAGTAAAAGAAATGTTGTAGGCTTTGTCAAATGAAAAATGCACACACCCTTTAATCAGCATTCCCATTGTAAAGATTAATTCTAAAGATACGTCAGAAGTAGAACAAGCTATATATTCATAAATATTTGTTGAGAAAGAATTTGAGCAGTAAAAAAATCTTTAAGATATCAAAATGCCCATTGGTTGAAAATAATTATATGAATCTGGTAACATGTAAAATTGATGATGACAATGACATGCTCACCACACTTGCTATCATGACATCATCTTGTTTATTATCTTTTGCCCATTGATGGTAGGATATGTGAGAAAGAATTTCCAGTCAATCTACAGCAATTAGGTTATTTCTCAGTAGGCACTTAATACCCACTTGCAAAACACATGATTGAATTGAGCTTTTTTTTTTTTAACCGAAATAGGCCGGAAGTGATGGGGAGAGTATTGGGAACTGTCCCTTTTGCCAACGACTTTTCATGATCTTGTGGCTTAAAGGAGTTAAATTTAATGTGACTACTGTTGACATGACTAGGTAAGATAGTCATTCTGAATATTGAAATGGTATTTGAATATTGTGTAGATAAACTTTATCTAAAGACTCATCACTGTTTATTTTCAATAATTATAGAAAGCCTGAAGAACTGAAGGACTTAGCCCCAGGTACCAATCCTCCCTTCCTGGTGTATAACAAAGAGTTGAAAACAGACTTCATTAAAATTGAGGAGTTTCTAGAGCAGACACTGGCTCCTCCAAGGTACAGCAGTTTATGGTATATTATTATTCTCAATCTTTTTTTATTGACCTAAGTAATGATTCTATATCTTTTGTAATACCAGACCCCTCTTTAACTAACTTTTTAGAAGTTTAAAAAGCTCACCCTTAATTGTTCTATATAGGATCATAAAGGTTTACTGTACAATTATTTACTATATATAAAGCTAATAAAACTTTATATGATTACAAAAGAACAAAAGACAGACTTTGGGAACCAAGAAAGGTAAGTTTGTTCCACATTTAGTATCAGCGATATTATTTCATCTTTAATGAAGTTTGAGAGAATTTATTATGATAAAAATTAGACTTTCTTTTTTGTACTGTCCGCAGGTAATCTTCAGTTTTTAACTAGTCCCTGTTTTAGTCTGATCTCAGTTCTACATATTAGGAAGTATTATGTCTACTATTCAGAAACTTCCTACTAAAACTTCAAATACACAAAGACAGTTGTATGGCAATACAATATTAAAGTATTTTAAGGGACTGTAGAGATAATACAGAAGTTAAGACATTTTTCTTACACAGTGTAAATCCTAGTTAAATTCCCCAGTACTGAATATGGTCCCCTAAGCATGACCAGGAGCACAGATCCCTGAGCACAGAGCTAGGAGTAAGCCCTGAGCACTGCCAGATGCAGTCCAACCCTGTGGTCATTGATGGCAAGAAGGGAGAACATCCTTAACAAAGGACTAGAGGTCAGTAAACCAGTCCCATTCAGTTAGTCAGAAGCCCAAATTCCACTATTTTCTTGTGACAACTGTATATATCTGCCACCCAGAATACTATCTGGAAGCAATAGGCCATTTTTCAATCACTGTGCAACAAATTACCACAAACTCGGTATCTTAAAATGATACTTATTATTTCAAATTTGCTTTGGTCTGTAGTCTGATAATGGTCTATCGGGGTTTCCTGCACAGTGTCTCACAAGATCCAATGAACAATGCAGTTATCCTGTGGAGTTCGAGGAAATAAAGCAGTTCTCCAAATGAGACAGGGCTTCAGGGCTGTATCTTACATTCTTAATATTTTCATCATTTTCATTATTTAAAAATTTTAACTCTTAAATCAATTCCTTTTTTAATCCTCAGAATATGAGAAAAGTCCTATCTCTTTGAATTGATTTCTAACTATTTTCTCTGGTGATGAGAGCATTTTATTTTGGCTAAAATTATGCTGCTGAGATACCAGTATTTTCAGTAGTTACCAGAAGTTGCTTAGTACATTACATTCTAGCCCTTTTCATCTTTCTGAAATATTTTCTTTTAAAAGAGATTATGGATTAAAATAAAAGGTTATGGGCTAGAGAGACGGTACAGTGGGTAGGGGATACTTGACTTCCACACAGTTAACCCAGGTTACATCCATGGCACCATATATGGCCCAATGAACATAGCCAAGACTGATCTCTGAGCACAGAGCCAGAAGCAATCCCCCCAAAAATAAAAAACAAAAAACAATGATCATGGTTTAGGTAATATATATATATATATATATATATATATATATATATACAATAATGTTAAAAGTTTATGGTGTTGATGTACAAAGTTATTACATACAGCCACCACCAAAGTCATCTCTGGCCCTGTCACTGTCATCGTCACTGTCCTCCCATTGTTCATCGATTTGCTCAAGCAGGCCCAGTAACATGTCCATTGTGAGACTTGTTGTTACTGTGTTTGGCATATCTAATAGGTCATGGGTAGCTTGCTCCGCCCCTCTCGGAGAGCCCAGCAAGCTACTGGGAGTATCTCTGGCCCAATCTTCATTTTGTACCACACTTTCCTCCCACTATTTGCTGATATGTTTTGTAATCCAAGGCCAAGTGTATGTCATTGTTTGACACTGTCATTTCCTTTGCTTTGTCACTTCATATCCCATATGTAAGATGTTCCGGTGTTTGTTATTCTCCCTTTGAATTATTTTGTTTAATACTATAAAGATTTAGCTGATAATCTTGCAGATCTTCTCTGTGGTTCATCCTTCACCTTGGTTTTATCATCCCCTTCAACCTTTATCTTGGAAAGAGTGGCGACAGCGGTGGGACGTGGGCGCTGGATGTGGAGTGCAGTGGTGTGCGGCCTTTGGTTGGTCCAGGGGCTGTTCTCACCTCTTCTTCTTCACATTTCTTCACGCTAGAGCCATAGCATAGTGGGTAAGGCATTTGCCTTCCACGTGGCTGACATGGCAGACCCGGGTTCCCCTCTCGGAGAACCCGGAAAGCTGCCGAGAGTATCTCACCTGCACGGCAGAGCCTGGCAAGCTACCCGTGAAGTATTCGATATGCCAAAAACAGTAACAAGTCTCACAATTTGTTGTGGATGTTACTGGTGCCCACTTGAGCAAATTGATGAACAACGGGAGGACAGTGCTACAGTGCTACTATAAAGATATCGTCAGTTATATCTAAATTGCAGTGAGCTCCAAAATTTCATCTTTTCTTAAAGCTTCAAAGTATTTCATTGTGTGTATCGCTGGAGCGATAGCACAGCGGTAGGGCGTTTGCCTTGCACGCAGCCAACATGGCCAACCCGAGTTCGATTCCTCCGCCCCTCTCGGAGAGCCCGGCAAACTACCGAGAGTATCTCGCCCACACGGCAGAGCCTGGCAAGCCACCCGTGATGTATTCAATATTCCAAACACAGTAACAACAAAATCTCCAATGGAGACGTTACTGGGCCCGCTCAAGCAAATCGATGAACAAAGGGAGGGCCTTTACCTTACATATATATATATATATGTAAAAAACTTTCATCAGTTATTGGATATTTGGGGTATGCAATATTGTCTTTTAAGCATATTACCTATACCTAGGATGTAGTAACAGAGATTTTTCTGATGGAGAAAAGAAAAACCATCAAAGCTTTTATTTTTTTAAATTTTTTCCAAAAATGTTTGTTTTATTGATTTTGCAGCCTGCTACATTGCTATGCTGGTTTATTGCTTTTCCCCCTTATTTTTAAAAAATTTTATTAGTGAGGGGCTGGAGAGATAGCACAGCGGGTAGGGCATTTGCCTTGCACGTGGCCGACCCGGGTTCAATTCCCAGCATCCCATATGGTCCCCTGAGCACCGCCAAGAGTAACTCCTGAGTGCATTTGTAGTTGTTATTTATTCTTTAATATCTTTCTATGATGCTACTTTTATTATCTTACTTGAAAAACTTGTATTTCTATCACACTTCCATTTACAAAATTTCCAGATATATAATATACTTATACATTTGTAGAATCCATCCTTCAAAATTAATAACATGCTAAAAACAGTAGATGCCACATTATCTATGCTTACTAAAATGACATTTTAGGGCCAGAGAGATAGTACAGAGGTTAAAGCACTTCCCTTACATATTGTTAAACCCTGATTCTACCCCAGCACTACATATGGTCCCCTTGAGCATCCCCTTGAGAATCAAGAACAAGCCCTGAACAAATAGCTAGGTGTAGTCCTTTGATGACTACCAGGTGTGGCCCAACCCACCCCAACAGAGTAACTAAGCATGATTATTTTACAATAGCTCTGCACTATTCACTGTCTATACATTTATAGGAAATTAAATACAAGGGTTACTAAGAAATATGTATAAGACCCATGTGAGAAAAGCTACAAAATTGATCAACAAAATCAAAGAAAATATAAAGATATTTAGAAAATCTCCTAATTCAAAAAAGGGAAGACAATGTGGGTAAGGTTTTGGTTCTTCACAACTTGATCTATAGATTCAATACAATCATAATTAAAAATCATAGTAAGTTATTTTTGGTTATTAACCAAATTATTTTAAATTTTATATATAAAGGCAAAATGCCAGAATATCCAACAAATATTAAAAACAAAGTGAAGATATGATACTGCACAACTTCAAGTTTTACTCTGAAGCCAATCTGATAATGTGTAATGGTATCTCATTGATTATTAATTCGCATATCTCCAATTAGTAGGTGAATCTGAGCTTTTTTACATATGCTGTTTGATCATTTGGGGGTTTTTTTTGTGCGTATGTGTGTGAATCTCGTTGTCAAATCCTTATGAGTTTCTACTGTTTTATGTAATAGTTAAGGATTACACTCAACAGATAATTTGTAGTCCAAAAAAAGTCACTTAAATAACTGTGGATTTTACGTCTGTCACATAAGAAGCCAAGAATGAGGAATTCTAAGTCTGGAACGACCACTTTATAATATCATGAGGCAGGGGGAAGCACCAGCTTCTTCTAAGATTTCTTTTCTGCTATCCTTCACATATGGTTTCCAGCCTCAAAGTTAACTCATAATGACAACATATGTTTTCTGCAATTCCTGACAACACATATAACTTCCGCAAGGGAAGAGAAAGAAGGGAAAAAGAGAAAATCTACAGCTTAAGGAACTGGGTTGCACAGTCACACCAAGTAGCCACACTCAACAATTCCTACGGTCCTCCTGTTGTTCATCGACTTGTTCGAGCGGGCCCAGTAATGTCTCCATCATGAGACTTGTTGTTACTGTGTTTGGCATATCGAATACGTCACGGGTAGCTTGCCAGGCTCTGCCGTGCAGGCGAGATACTCTCAGTAGCTTGCCGGGCTCTCCAAAAGGGGCGGAGGAATCAAACTCGGGTCGCACGACAATTCCCATTACATTTAATTATCCAGAAGTAGTTCATATAGTCATATTTAAGTGAAAAGGAGAACTAGGAAATGTAGTATTTCTCCAGGTATATTGTCACTCCTAATAACAAAACAAGGTTCAGTTATAAGAAAGAAAATGTGTTACATAATTGTTTTTTGTCATAGCCTTCTGCTTTGACCATCAATAAAGGCATTGAACATTTCTTTTTATAAAAGGAGAGAGATAATTTATGGGACCAGAGAAATAGTGCAGTGGGGAAGGTGTTTGTCTTGCAGGTGGCTGACCTGACTTTTATTCCCAGAACCCCATATGGTCCCCTGAGCCTCACTAGGAGTGAACCCTGAGCACAGAGCCAGGAGTAAGCCCT